AACCTAGCGACAACAGTTCCTTATACCTTTATCTGGACTCGGACGTAATGATTGTGTTATCATTGAAATATAGACACATATATTTTAACACCGTGTGAGGAGACGTTGAAGAGCTGCATTTTAGTGACTTCCTTCATATCCGTCACCCAGAATCCCAGCTTTAGAGGGTCTCTGCCTGCAGAATAATACAGGTTAATTGAGGTTGGCAAGGAACAACTCTTACCAATGGAAAACAATCACATGAACATACCTGAAGTCCAATTTTACTTAAAGCAGCTTACATTTGGTATGGTAACCATGATAAACATGGTTACCTCCATGTTTATAATGTAAACTAATAAAAACTTCAAATATATGAGAATAATGAATCTGTACTTGCCAGTGAACCTTGATAGGCATCGTGCTTTGATCTTTATGCTGTATATTTCAAAAAAACTGTATTCCATTTTTCAGACTTCTTAGTTTTGCAGACCAAGTTATTGGATATTCTTGGGAAAAATAAAATACTTAAATTTAAAATAGAACTGTTAAAATAATCACATATTCAACAGATTTAATGATTCTTGTTGGCATAGATTTTCCCATTGAGTCATATGCTAGCAGGGGGAAAATGAGTGTCACTTCATTTGATAATGCAGGATCAAGTTATAGCCAGAGAAAATATTTTTATCCTTAAGCAAAGCATTTTTTTAATCTCAGTTTTATTGTCTGATAAAGGGAGCTTTTTCTTACGTGCTTGATTGTATTTTCAAAGTAGAACTTCATTCATCCAGCTGCAAATTCTCCTTTTGGAGATGTGCACATATATTTATATTCTTTTTTCTTTGCAAGATGAGGGCTGTAATGTGTCCAAGATTTCACGAGAGGAATTTGAGAATGCCCCAATATTGAAAAGATTAGCTTACTTCCGTTAAACTAGGGGTTATAGTTAGTGTGCTTTCATATTATTTCTTCTTTAATTAATTCAGCTTGCATTTGTAAGGACTCTTTTAAGCTTTAAAAGATCTTCTTGCACTCTTYTTAATTTTTATGGTAACTGCTATGTTAAATACCTTGAGAAACGTTCATGAATATGTTTCTTTTTGTTTCCTTTGCATTCATGTACTTTTTGTGTTAATTAATACTCACTTAACAATGTTTTAAATGTGCAGTAATCTGTTGACTCTTGGGTGCTTTTACTAGTGTTTACTAGTGTTTATGCCTACTTTTAGTGCTTCTTACTCAAACATTTCTTACTCAAACATTTTAAAATAAGGAGTTAGGGTAGTAGAAAAGGAGTTTGGGGCTGTTATTCAGGAAAAAGTGAGTGTTCCCTTTAAATTTTTGCTACTTTCATCTAAAGTCTAAAATACAATTATTTGTAGAAATTTTAATTATGTAAAATAAAGCTGCACAGTCTGGAAGGGTCTCTACTGAGAAAGAGTTGCAGTATGAGCTTGCAACTTCTCAACCTCTTTAAAAAATACTGYTAAACTGTTTTGTCTACTTTATGCTTTTACCCTATTTGTCAATCCAAAGTGGAATTAATTTTAAGTAATTTATAAGTACTCCAGGAGAATAGTTAGAGTACAGGTAAAAAGTTTACAGAAGAGATAGCCTGTCTTGTTTGGAATGAAACTGTCACAACATATGATAGTGTTTCCTATGAATGGACATAAAACCAGGATTATGAACAACTGTATTTCATGCTTGAACAACRTGGATAGTCTGGTTAGTCTTCATGACGAATACTAGCATAAATGCAGGGGCATGCCTTTATTTCACTATTAGAAAACAGAGTTAGACATTTAACAATTTGACCTTTGCCAGTGCTTTTCAAAAACTAATTTTTTTTTTTACAGTGGTCAAATTTTCCCTTTCCTGTCTGACAATTTTTCTTTTCATGAGCATTTGCAGTCTTCTGGCTCTTTTCTTTTTGATTTCTCTCCTTACTRTATATAACAACAGTTAGATTTTACAGAGAAAAATCTTCTCAAAGTTTGAAATTCTTAATGTGATCTTCTGCATTTTATATTTTATATATCTGAAACTTTTATACTGTTATATATTTWAAAAAAAAGCTTGGACATAACTTGCTGAAATCTTTACATTTGGAAATACAACATTTCAAGAGATTAAGTATATTAATGTATGTTACACTCAAAAGTATTTGTCTTCAGTCATTTCATTAGGGAGTGGGAAATTAAAGCAGTCCCTATAAACTGTACTGCTCTACAGACAGGGCTGGTGCTGATGCATTACTAGTCTATGCCACTATTGGCACTGGAAATGTCACACAAGGAATTTTCTGTTTCTACCTAGGCAGAGATAACCAAGATCTCTGTGAAGAGTGTTGAAGTTATACTGAAATTTTGGGCAACCGTTACTAAAATTGCTTGTATTCTATGAAAATAACTACTAGTAGTTGGCACCCAGGAGTGTTGCTGGCAGGATATGTGGGTATGTTTTGTTTGTTTTTCTTCTTCTCTCTAATGTATTTAAAAATGCCTATACCTCATCTCTCCCCAAGTTGTGAGAGACTTCCCATGCTTAAAAAAATGAAAATTTGCATTGGCTACTGTTTTATTGTCTTTGGGAGCTGGCATACCGTAACAAACTGTTGAGCAGTACAATGGCTGTGTGAGCTAAATTGAGTCTCAATGATTGGGCTCAGTTCTGGTAACCCTTGGGTGAAATAGTCCAGTGTAATCTCAATGTTCAGTTTGTTAATACAATGCTGTTCCCARTAGCATCATATTTTCCTTGTAGGACAATCTCAGATCCAGTTATATGCTCCTTTGACTTGATCAAGCTTTATATGAGAACTCTCTTGCTATGGATTTTACTTGTTTGTTTATTTTTCCTTTGGAAAGCTCAATCTCCTCTATCACCCCCCAAAAGTAGCAATGCAGAAATAGAGTGTGAAGAGAGGAAGTAAGGGTTATTTTTAGAGTCTGGTTTCTGTAACAGGGCTGTCTTCCTAGCCCTTTTCCTCAAATACGGAGAGTTCAGGAATAGTTTCAGAGCGCTTGTATTTGAGTTTATTTCAAGGTTTTAAATATTATATAAATTTTATTATCCAGTAAAAAATATTATTTCAAAACTTTGAAGCTTTCTTGCGAAAGAAGTTCCATTGCTAGGTCATCTTATCAGTGCATAGTTATGAAAACAAACTTTTAACAAGCATGACACTATTGTGCAGGAGAGGATAAAAAAGACTGCARTAGAGAATTGAGGCAGGTGGAAAATAAGAGAGCTGATGTAAATAAAAGTATGCACTAGAAGGAAAAAGGGAGTAATTTAACTACTCTTGCCTGGTTTAGCAAGCAAACTACCCTTRAAAGAAGATGGAAGAAATATTTTGGCTGTACTGGGTGAATTATCAAACACAAATAGCTTATATTTTATCTTGATGAAATTTGGCTTAAATCTTGGTTTGGTTTCTGTTCTGTTTTTTTTTTTTGGTTTCTGTAGTGTTGATATCATAATATACGCATAATTAAAAATAAATGCTTAAATATTTTTCAGTTATAGTAAAATTATTGCTCTTGAACACTTTTTTAGTACTGAAGGCGCACATGGTATTTTGTTCAGGGTTTAGAGTTTTTTTATCTCTACTGCAGCTACTTACGTAGTATTTATCTGCAGTAAAATGCATGTTTTAAAATGTGCTTGTAGAGGCATGAGCATCTTAAATGCACATAGTATTACTTGTTTGGTAACCTTATGAAACATTAAGTGCTAAACTTGGATATTTAGTCAGAAATATCTTTGAAGCAGATGGTGTTGATGGGTGAGTAATGAGCTGCAGATGACACTGCTGAGTTGCACTCTGAAATATGGCAGAGACACCATAAGGAGAAGAATGGGCCCTGTTCCCAGCAGGAAGACAGGGAAGTGGGAAATCCTGTGGAGCAGGGTGGGTCTCACCTGGCTAAAGACAGCAGCAGCACCAGACTGGACACACTGCCAACACTGATAGGGACCAAGACCCTGCATGGTGACAGTGCAGAAAAAGCAGACACTCCTATTGATCCCTCCAGAGCCTTTTGGAAAGGAGGCCTAATAGGAATGACCACAGCACAGTGACRTCCTCCTTCCCTGTGGGTATAAAAGACAGAGTCGAGCATGGACGAGTTGAGCAGGGATCAGAAGGAYCCTGGCCAGCCCCTCTGGCTGTGCCGGGAGCTGAGGATCCCTCCCCTGCCCCTGCCCGGGGACGCTGGGCTGAGGGAGCTCCTGGCGAGGCCCTGAGGCCCCTGACCYGTGTTCAGGGTGTAGAGATGCCGTCGTATTTTCAACTCCTTGCGAGGTTGAGAGGTCCCCGTATTCTCAGGGTGAAGTAATGCTGTAGCACTTTTTAACATTTATTTCATTTTTTAATTTAATTCTATTTTTATTTGTTTCTTCTTTTTCTGGGACAAGCAGAAGATACAAGCTCTCAAGTTTACAAGCTCATTTCATTGGTGGCCAGCGATAGGACAAGGGGCAATGGGCATGAGCTGAAACACGGGAAGTTCCATCTTCAGGTGAGGAGGAACTTCTTCACTGTGAGGGTGGCAGAGCCCTGGCACAGGCTGCCCAGGGAGGCTGTGGAGTCTCCTTCTCTGGAGGTCTTCAAAACCCGCCTGGATGCCGYCCTGTGCCCTGTGCTCTGGGTGTCCCTGCTTGAGCGGGAAGGTTGGACTAGATGATCTCTAGAGGTCCCTTCCAACCTTGAATATTCTGTGATTTTGTGAAGCAGGGTACTCTGTTTAGTTACACTAGTTGCTACCTGACAAGGTGMTCCCTAATTACAGTTGTCCCAGGTAATGGTGGATATTGTTATCGCAAAGATCTTGTGCTGGTGAATGAAATCAAYCAACTAAAGCCCAGTGGTTGTTGCCCCCCTGGATTATTTTGCTCTCTCTTTTAATGACCCTGTGACAAGTTTGTGTTTCAGTGTTTACTTATTATGCTCGAACAGTTCATTGGGTTCCTTTGGGATATGATTTCCACATACTTTTTTTTTTCCTTCACAGATTTGAAGAATAGAAGCATGCTCTCCACTGAGACTCACACTAACATTTGTGATACAGAATGTCTCTAAGTGAGAAGAATAGCGTGGTTTTTGCATACGAGTCTTCAGTACATGGTACCAATGTACTCCACAATCTCAATGATCAGAGAAAGCAAGATATTCTTTGTGATGTTACTGTTTTAGTGGAAGATCAGCGATTTCGGGCTCACAAAGCTGTGCTTGCAGCTTGTAGCAATTACTTCCTTTCAAGAATTGTGGGCCAGTTGGATTCTGATCTTATCATCACTTTACCAGAAGAGGTGAGTAGTATTTGTTTCTATATTTTACCTGCAAGTGCTTCTAATTTGTTCAGTTCTTTTTTATAGTAGAAAATACTTAACTGAGATTAATAATTCTTAAGTAAAAGAGTTAAGAACTGTGGGGAGAGAAGGTTCTAAGTGGAAAAGCTGCCATTGATTAAGGTAAGAGCTAGACAGTCAGTATATATCACAGACTGATAAATGAGTGCTGCTTTGGGGAGTGTAAAGAGGAGGAGTTCTATTTATGGAAGTGAATGTTGTTTCTATAATTGTGCACATGGTTGAAAGTATGCAAGTCCCACAAAAAATATATTAATGACTCCTTCAAATTCTGTGGAGCAAACTAGGCTGCCTATATGAAAAGGAAATACTTTCAAAATAATAAATAAGTGGCTTTGCTACTATAACCTTTCAGTTAATCTTTTCAAGATTTATTTCAATGAATGTATGTTCCAAAATGCGTGTGTTTGAGAAACATAGCCATACTGATATTCCTCAATCACAAGATTACTGAAACTTATACTGTTGTGTTTTACCAGTTTGCCATTGTTTTAACACATTGATTTCGAGTTTGTCTATGGAGTTACCCTACTTTTGAAACGGTGAAAATGTAGTTCAGGTATGTTCTAGGTTTATTTTTCCCCCCTTAATGCTAAGTCTTAGTTCATACTAAATTTAGAGCCGTTTCATGGGAATGAGCTAGAACGTGTCATCTCATAGGAAAGAAAATGTTGTTTGATGTCTGAAGCACTCGAGACATTTAAGGATTCCAAGCAGTATTTAAGTGTGAACAGTCACGTTATAAGAGGCATATATCCCTATAGGAGTTATAAGAAATGATAGTGAGTGGACTCTTTGTGCCTCAGAAATTTTGGATATCGTATTGCCTAAACATTTAGTGATGTGTTTCTAATGGTTGGGTGTGTGGGTGGGTGCACATGACAGTCTTTGACCTAAAAGGTGTTTTTTTTCTCCTCCTTAAGCTATGAGAGTTGCATAGTTTGCAACCTGAGTGTAATTTGATGCTTTCTATATTTGTATTAAGCTACCAGATAAGAGTTTAGACTCCCTCCATCTTTTACAGATGACCTACTAACAACTTCTTACTGATATACCATCCTCAGCCTTTTTGATTTCTGTGGTTTTCTGGTCAGAGGAACCAAGAGCGAAGTTGTTCAGCACTGCACTAGTACATGAAAAGTAAAGAACCTCTTAAGTGATCTGATTGTCTCCTGAAGTGGCAGTATTGTATAGAACAGGTTACTCTAGATTCGATTTTGTAACACAGAGGTAAGCAACAGAGGCTTCCCAGGAGGAAATTGTTGTTTTCCACCCCAAAGCAGGCAACATGTAAATTGTTCAGACTTCAGCTAGTGTCTTGTAAACCAGAGGAAAGGTAAGTATCGTACACAAGTTCCTAGTGATGTTAGGAGATCATGTTAATCTAATCATTGTTGATCAACGAATTTGTGTCAAGGGGGTCTGTGAGAGCATAACACCATTGTGTCACTTCTGTTCAGCTTCCTTACTGTTCTGTGTAGTATCCTCTCCCCCACCATGGTGAAGAGGGAACTTTTGTTTTGGAATAACTGAGATAAAATTGGAAGAATAAGAAATGCAGACTGAAGTTGGAAGCAAGGGGAGAAAATACAAAGCATCGGGGATGATAAAGCGGAGTGAGCAGGGACCAGATTTTGGAAAGAAAAGTGCTGTCATAAAATACATTATGTCCTGTTAAGTTTACACTTAGCACTTAGTAACAATGTCACTTAGTGTTACTGATCTAAGAAGTGAATCTGCTGAAGCAACAATTAAAAATACTAACAGTAAATGTCATGTTCTAATCATATGATCTATTGCTTAGTAAAAACACTTTAAGATTCAGTAGCTTGAGTTTCTCTTCTGGGAAATGTGAAATATTTTGAAATAAGTTGGTTTATGAAGCATATTTAAGGGAGACAAACATCAATCACATGGTTTGACAACTTGTTAAACTTTTTAATCATGTGAAGTATTTAAAGTATTTAAAATGAGAGATGTCAGCCTTGTGAGTGTGAAATGGCAACGTATTCCTGGAATTAAAGTAGTTCATGTACATTATATTGTCAAAATGAAACCCTGACAACTTGATCTCAGTTCTCTTGTTTATTTGTTCTTATTCTAAGAATTTTAGCCCACGTACAAATTAAATAATAGGTTTCTATACAAATTGTTCCTCTGGGTCCGTCAGACCAGAAGTCTATCTAGCTTTGTATCTTGTTTGAGTTGAGCCAGGTAGAGCTGCACAGGAGAAGGTGTAAGGAGTGTAGGGTGACCTTTCCTTATGATCCTTCCAGTTTTTAGTAATAAGAGGTTCTGGAAATACTTTATGTGGAAAGTGTGCAGGTTTTTGAAATATTGTTGTATTTTGTTGAGTTTCATGTGTAAGCATCATCTGTCTATAAATTTACTAAATCTCTTTGACTAGGGTACTAAGCCTGAAGACTTCATGGCAGCATAGCGGCCTTACATAAGCATTGCATTTTGTGCTTGACTTTGTATTATATTGTGAACTCTATAGGATTAACTATGAGTTAATGTGTTCGTGTAATCCTTGTGCTATCTCAAGTGTTGAGTATCTCACATAGTGTTTTAGAGAACTCTTCACATAAGTTACAAGTGTGTAAAATCTTTTGCTAAATTGCTTCCGTGGGAGCTGTCTACAACCACCTTTCATGTATTATGTGCATTACATTACAGGCAAGGCTTTCGACACAGTCTCCCATAACATCCTTATGGGGAAGGTCAGGAAGCGTGGGTTAGATGAGTGGCCAGTGCGGTGGATCGAGGGCTGGCTGGATGGCAGAGCTCAGAGGGTGGTSATAAATGGGGCCGAGTCCAGTTGGAGGYCTGTGGCCAGTGGTGTCCCCCAGGGGTCAGTRCTGGGCCCRGTGCTGTTCAATTTGTTCATCARTGACCTGGACGAGGGCACGGAGTGCACCCTGAGCAAGTTTGCAGATGACACCAAGCTGGGTGGAGTGGCCGACACTCTGGAGGGCTGTGCTGCCATCCAGAGGGACCTGGACAGGCTGGAGAGTTGGGCAGAAAGGAACCTCATGAGGTTCAATAAGGACAAGTGCAGGGTCCTGCACCTGGGGAGGAATAAMCCCAGGCATCAGTACAGACTAGGGGTCGACCTGCTGGAGAGCAGCTCCATGGAGAGGGACCTGGGAGTCCTGGTTGACACCAAGTTAACCATGAGTSAGCAGTGTGCCCTCGTGGCCAAGAAGGCCAATGGGATCCYGGCCTGCATCAGGAGGAGTGTTGCCAGCAGGTCAAGGGAGGTGATTCTGCCCCTCTGCTCAGCTCTGGTGGGGCCGCACCTGGAGTACTGTGTWCAGTTCTGGGCTCCCCAGTATAAGAGGGATGTGGAGCTTCTCGAGAAGGTCCAGCAGGGGGTAACCAAGATGATTAAGGGACTGGAGCATCTCTCATATGAGGAAAGACTGAGCAAGCTTGGACTGTTAAGCCTGGAGGAGAGAAGACTGAGAGAGGATCTTATCAATATGTACAAATACCAGAGAGGAGAATGTAAAGAGGATGGTAACAGACTCCTCTTGGTAGTGGCCAGTGACAGAATGAGGGGTAGTGTGTATAAGCTGAAACACAGGCAGTTCCATCTGTTAGTGAGGAGGAACTTTTTTCTTGTGAGGGTGACAGAGCCCTGGCACAGGCTGCCCAGGGAGGCTGTGGAGTCTCCCTCTCTGGAGATCTTCCAAACCCGCCTGGATGCCGCCCTGTGTCCCTTGCTCCGGGTGTCCCTGCAGGAGCAGGGGTCCTCTAGAGGCACCTCTAGATGGTCTCTAGAGGCACCTTCCAACTTCAACTTTCTGCGTCTGTCATTCCTCAGTTTCAAGGGAAAGGTGAGAGATCTAATTAATAAATGAAATGTTAGTATATAGTTAACTTTGTTCCCTTCTTTTATCAAAATAAAACTCAGTGCTTTATGCTGAATAAAGCATTGTGTTAATATATTAACTGTACTAAATTATTCTGCCAACAATGTGAGCTTGAGTTTATGGTTAGTCATAGAGATYATATTGCTCTGCCTTTCCTAAAGGGTAAAGGAAGTGTAACCTAATTTGTAACATAAGGTGGTATGTGTACAGACTTCCAAGTGATTTCCTCACTTTTTTTTTTCTTTTTTCTGTCTTTGGAAGATTTTGTTTAGTTTGTAACAAAACAGAATTTTTATTTGTGAGCTTTGGACTTCCTTTTTTCTGCAGTAGAGATGGAGATGATAATGATTAAGTTGCTCAAAATAAATCTACCTGCTCCTAGTAGTCTTTAAGCTCAGAGTCTAACTGCTTTTGTTGTAGAGTTTTTGAATACATTTTTAATCCATGGGAGCAAGAAAGCAGTGAATGGCACTAATAACAAATTATCACATAATGAAATTTTATTTTTCAAACTTTTTATTATCACTGTTGTATGAAACTAAGCAAATATCAAAAATAGCTCTTTAAAGGAAGGGTTAATTATCATTAAGTTCTGTGATCCTATTTGAGAATAATTCATATTGGACTCCAGATTCTGTTTTTCAGTGGACAACAGTCTTTTTTGTTATTGGTGTTATGCTGGCAGAACTGTTTTAAAGTCTGATCATAGTGAAGCTAACAATTGTCATAACGTATACAGGATAGAACTGCATCAACACATCTGCCTCAAGACAAATAGGGGTAGAAGTCTTCCATGCAGTAAACTTGCTGCTTTTGTCATGTTCTGTGTCTTGCACAGTTTGCTTACAGGTAAACAGTCTGTGTTTCCCTGACTCCTGTTCTTGTATTGAATGATCAGGCTGTAACTGTAAACTTGGCAGTGAAGCTGCCTGGTGCACTAGAAGTGTATTGAGACTTGCTGTTTTTCATCCTCCGTATACTTACRGCAGAAGACAAAGGTTGGTTTGGTCAAGGTTTAACCAAGCAGGAAGCTGGCCATACTAATGCTTTTTTTTGTTTGTTTGTTTGTTTTCTCCTTTTTTTAAATAGGTAACACTTAAAGGATTTAGTCCTTTGCTTCAGTTTGCATACACAGCTAAACTTATTTTAAATAAAGACAATGTGTCTGAAGTTTGCAAGTGTGCTGAATTTCTGGGAATACGTGACATTGAAGAATCTTGCTTTCAGTTTCTCAAATTCAAATTCTTGGATTGTAAAACAGATCACCAGGAATGTCCCAGGAAGAAATGTTGTACACAGCGTTATCAGAAAAGAAGCCCTGAAATTGGCAATGTGGATGATGCAGATATAGAAATAGAGGATGAAACAGAGGAGCTCCTAGAAAAAGAATGTATTCAAACTCCTCAGACAAAGCTCTTTAAAGATGAAGAAAATGCTAAAATGTCTCCTGCTTTCCAAGATAATACTAATCAAACATGTGATCCTGCACATTTAGAAAGGGGGAATGTTTCAAGCTCATCTTCCCTGTGCCCCAAGTATAGGAAGTTCCAAAAGGCTTTCGGAAATGACAAAGTTCATATTTCAGAACCCAGTCCCAGTGTTAAAGATATTCAAGTGCCACCAATTGCAGCTTTTCTTGAGAAGGAGTTACCTGATAATGATAGCACACAAAAAGCTCAGGAGTGTGCACCTATGCAGCTGGTCTCAAAATGTGAAGAGGCTCAGGTAAAAATGGAAGAAGGGGAGGAAGAGAATAAGAAAAAAGAAGAAACAAAGAGAGATTCCCTGACTCAGAGCATTTTGTGTCCTGTGGAGAAAGTGGAAGTTGCTGCTTTTGCCCCAAACTCTGCTGCACCTCATGGACCCAATTCTGTGTCGTCTTTACTTACATGTGAGCAATATGGTGACTTGAACTTCACTGATGTGCAAAGCAACACAGCCATAGCAGAGAAAAGCGTCGCAGGTCCTGGAGTGAGGAGCGACAAGATTGAAAGTCAAGATGCTGCCCCTTTGAAGATGGATTCGTGCCCTAGGGAAGCCATTAACGTTGCATCAGCTGGTGATCGAAGCAGTGTGGAGAGAGAAGTGGCAGAACACCTAGCAAAAGGCTTCTGGAGTGACATTTACAGTACAGAAACTTGCCAAGTACATTTACCACCTGCGGTAGCAAAAGAGTGCTTGGAACCGGTATATTCAGGGAAGAAGTCGGAGTGTCCGTGGCTGGGTATCAGGATCAGCGAGAGCCCTGAGCCTTGCCCCCCGAGAACTTTTACAACACTGAGTTCTGTCAACTGCCCCTTTATAAGCAACCTGAGTGCCGAAGGATGCTCCACCAACTCTGAAATAAGCAGCGGAGATTATGTGCAGGGACAGCAGCAGGATCAGTGTCCCTACAACTACGTGATAAGTTTGGGAGAGGATTCGGAGACTGACACTGAGGGAGACAGCGAATCCTGTTCAGCAAGAGAACAGGACTGTGAGGTAGGGATATGTATGCATTTATGTCCTTTGCTTTTGGGTCTCGGGGCGCTCTTCAGAAGCCTAATTCTGAGTCTTTTGTCATTTGTCATTGCTTATTTAAAGTCTCATTTACCATTCAATCTTTTTGCCTAACGATTCTAAGGCTTATGTGGAATATCAAATAGGCAATTCCCAGGAGCTGCTTACTTGTCAGAGAGGAAGTGGTACCTGTTTGAGCATTAGACCTTTCAGATGTCTGTGATTTTTCCGGAACAACTTTATCAAAAAGGTTGCAAGTAAAAGAAGATTTGGGGAGGGGGAGTTGTTTGTTTTTGAAGGGAGGGGAGGATCGTTTCAGTCAAACTTTGGGAGAGGTCTGAACTTCTTGGAAACTTTTTGTGCATTGTTCGAATGTTTTTGTTCTGACTTAAAAGTTTTAGAGAAAACTAATGCCTTATTTCCTGCAATATGTGTTTTCTGTTTTAGAGGTTAGATTCATTAACTGTGTATTTAAGACTGGTTTAATGGTATTGCCTTCTCTTTAATGTAGTTTGTAGTTGTTTGTCCATCTGCAGAAGTTTTTGGCACTTATTTCTTTCATGGCATTGCTTTGATAGTATTTCGGACAGATGCCATAAGTAATCTAATACCATAAGTTTTACTATATGCAGAAAATAGAATAATTTCTGTCACAGTTCCTAGAACAACAATATGACTCTGTGTATGATGAATCATTTAATGTTGCAGAAAATTTGTTTTTTAAAGCTTCTCTTTTCAAGATCTAGAGACCTTACTGAGTCTTAGATGTATAACCAGTGTAGAAAGATGGCAGGCAAGGCTCAGGCCCAGGACTAGTTAGGTAGATTTCCCATCTTTATACTGCCAAGACGTAAGTCACATCATTGCAGAGGGCAATACTCTACACACTCTTGCCTATTTATGTTAGCAGTGAGAGCTCTTCAAATGCAGAAGGACACCYAAATTCAGGACTGTGTCTGTAGCAAGGTGATGTATTCCTTCTGCTTAGTATACTCCAATGTAAGATTCTGTTGGGCACTTAATAAAACTCAGTGGTTATTTTTGTAAAGGTAAAGATGGCTTTCAGTATTAAAGGGTTTTTGTGTATATTTCTGAAGCTACTGCTTCTGTAGCTCAGGGTTCTGTAGCAAGAACTTCTTTCTACTCCAAATATTAAAAAGTGTAAGATAAATAYGACCTTGAGCTGACTTCTGCATCTTGAAGCTCTAGTGTGCAGCTTATCTCAGTTATTTATCCAGTGCCTCAGCAGTTCACCTACCTGAAGCTCCTGGATTTTATCTACCAAAATTGATGGCTATATTAGATTGCTCTTGTCTCTGACCAAAAAAAAAAATAAATAAATAAAAAAAAAAGCAAGTACTACTATATGCTTAAAGAATGCTTAAAACTAAAATTAAATTGAGTTGTTAGTGTTTATGCGTTTCAGTTTCACCTTTGTTTCAGAACTGTATCTTATATTCTAGGTAAAACTGCCGTTTAACACCCAAAGGATCATTTCACTTTCCAGAAATGATTTCCAGTCATTTCTGAAAATGCATAAATTAACTCCTGAACAATTGGACTGTATCCATGATATCCGAAGACGAAGTAAAAATAGAATTGCAGCACAGCGGTGTCGTAAGAGAAAACTTGACTGCATACAAAATCTGGAATCTGAAATTGAAAAGTTGGTATGTATAAATGCACATTATTATTGAATTAGTCTCTCTTAAATATCTCGACTGGACATTTGCTAGTGTTCTGAAAGCGGCTTTTCTACAATCCAGTTGTATGACCTTTACCACTCTTTTTCGCATGACTCCTTGATAACTGCTGTAGATTTTCTGTGCACCACTCCTGAGGAGCACACATTTTTCCCTGTGTAGCTTTGTTTCTGCTTTAGTAAAAATGCATCGCAGTCAGTCAGCTTTTTGGGTGAATGCTCTTTCTGAAGCCTAACAGCATTGACCTTAATTACAYAGAACAAACTGAGCTATCATCCCGTTCTGTTCAGTTTTCAACCTTTTTCCTTCTTCTGCTTTTTTCTATTTTTGTTGGTGGTGTTCAGCTTGTCCTACTGCTCATGATAGAGTTAAATGCAAGAAAAGGTTTTCATTTATTTTGGTAGAGCTGAAAAATACTGCTAGCTGTCTAAGCATTTGTTCTTGTAATACACCAATGTGGCCTGGTAGACTGTTTCCCAGCTCTTGAAAATTGAAAACCCTTTTCGTTAAGAGAGAAAAAGAAAWTTTTTTTTCAGAAAACATTTTTCATTAAGACTCTTGCAGAAAGGAGGAAGATGCAGCAGAACTCAGGAAGCTGCATAATATTTTAGCAGTGGCATCAAGATTGTAGCTAAGGAATTAATGAATCTGAATTTCCCCAAAATCACACACATGTGTATGTATAACCATGTGTATTTATAATATATCTACACATGTGTATATGTACRTAAAAATAAATATTTAAGTCTGTGTATATATTGTTAAAAGGTAATGGAAAGTTAAATGTATAAATTCAGAATAAGRATGAATAATCTGAAGATCTTGTAGCAAGAAAACTGTTGTAAATTTTCATCCTCAATCTTTGTTTGATCTGCTCATACTTCATATTTATGGTTCAATTAGGGTGAGTTAGGGTTACTGTTCTTGTAATTCTTTTTTTTTTTTTTTTTTCTTTGGTGGTGATGTTGGAGGTTTAGACTTTGTGCTTTATCTCGATGAGTTTGGTTTGTGTTTCAGCTAGGTATATACGCAGTTATGTAAGCACTTCTGACATTGGAGTGAAAAGGAAAGTAAAATGGGAGCAAAGTTCTAGGAGCTGGAACTCTGTTGTCTTCCAGAAGTGCTTCATCATCTTCCATGACACACATTGCACTTCTGAAACAACTTAGGTAAGGCAGGACTAAGGTGCCATGCAAGCCTGGCAAGGCAGCAGAGAAGCCCACTCAGCGTGGTGAATGAAGATGGTGCTCTAGGGGCAAGGGGAAGCAGGAGATCATGTCAGTAGTCATATTAGTGTGACTGAAGAGAGATTGTGTTTCCAACAGTTCCAAACTTTGAGTGTTTTGGTCATCTTAGTGCTGTTTCTGCTTGTTATGTAACACCGACATTGTGCAACAGTTGAAAAGCTATTTTTTTTTAAAGATATGATTCATCAGCAAGATTCAACATGCCGTTGACTGAACAGAACAAGTGACTCTGGTAGTCATAGTGTAACATGATTTCTTCACTGGACCAGCACTAGAAGGGAATGAGTGTCTGCTGTTGCAGATATCGCAATACAAGTTCTAGAAAACAAGCTGAAAATTGTGAGGACAGAGTCRCATTGTAGGCACAGACATTATCCAATCCCTTGTTTTCTCCAGCTGTGCAGAGAAGGTTTCTTTGGCATTTAGACCTCGTTTGGAGCTATTAGGCATGTCTAAATAGCAGTTGCCATTTAGGACCATCAAGCTTGTTAAGTTGTGAGCAAATACGCAATCTCTGAGCTCTGTCTAGATGTAATTGGAGATTTAGGGGACATCTATGAAAGGCTATGGTACATCCAGGTTACTTCAGGTAGAACTGCTTCTGCCTTGTTCTTGTTACCCTGGGTCAGTGCTGTGTGAACTGTTAGATTCTTTGATCTTCTCAAGATATTCTCTGTATTAGGCTTTTCTAGTTTGTACAGAATTAGTAGTTTGTACAAAATACATGTTTTCTTGTATTAATTTCTATTCCTGGTGGCTTAAAAGGCTTTTGTTTTCTCAGATATCAAAAATGCAGTGTTTGTGCTGTGTCTCTTGGGCACATCCTGCACCTGGGACAGACTAACCACCTGCATGAGGGCAGGCWGGGGTGATTGGCAGGGCTCCCTGAAAAGGACCTTGAGGGTCCGGGCAGCTGGCAAGCTGCCCTGCAGCGTGTCCAGCAGTGTGTCCTGGCAGGAGAAAAGGTCACCTGGACTTCTGTATTAACAGAAGCACGGCCAGTGTTTGGAGGGCAGTGGTCATTTCCATTATACTAAGCACTCATTAGAAAACATCTATAATATTGTGTCGAGTTTTGGGCACATATAGGAAATTCATTGATTAAACTACAGCAGGGGCAAGAGGAGGCCACCAGGACACTGGAAAACCTGTCCYATGAGAAGAGGCAGAGGGAGCACAGGCTTGTTCACCCTGCACAAGAGACCTCAGGGGCAGGACCTAACAGCTGCCTGCCTGTGTTTGTGGGATGGTCCTCAAGGTCTTCACAGTGAGAAGGGAGATGCTGTTACCAGCTGCCGTGGGAGGCTTTGGCTGCACGTAAGGAGCAGAGGGGTTTGTTCACGCTCCAGTCTTGGTTTTCAAGGCATAACTGGACAAAGCCCCGAGCAATTAATATTCAGTAATGTTGCTTTGTTTTAGCAATATGATATTAACTTCTTTAATAATGAAGTATGTTGTCTGTCAACTATTTCTGACAGGAAGAGGAGTTACATTGCAAAATATTTCTGAATGTAGAAGTTTCAGTATTGAGCAATAGTCTGTGTCATTTCATAAGTCCATGCGTATCCAAAATGTACATAAAGTGTTTTCAGATTAGAACATCTGGCAACAGCTGCTCCAAAAAATGCTGACAAGTGGTAATTTGTTAGTAAAGCAACTTTTCAAATCATTTTAGGCAAAAAAGGATAGGTAGCCACTGCTTCTCTTGCAAAATGCCATGTAAAGTTAGTCAGTTCTCTCAAAAAGAAATGGTAAAGATTGCAGTGTGAGGCTTCTCCCACAAGAGGGAATGCAAGAAGAACTAAAAATAAATTGTAAGAGTTGATGTAGAAGGAATGATAACAAATAACCTTAATGATTATGACTTCTCAAATTGGCCAAAGCTTCATCTGAAAACAGAAATTTGTGTGTCTGAAACTACTTCAATCCTTTTAAAATTATCATTATACTATTATAATAATTATTTTATATACAATATGTATTATAGATAATATATAATTATAAATAATTATTATGTTATGTTATATTAATTTTATAAATTATATTTAATAAAATATAGAATTGTGTTTAACTTTCTTCTAGTGACTTAATTGTGGTCTTGCTTCTTTGCTGCTTCCTGCCCTTCTTTACCTTTTCCTCATTCTTCTTCTGTTCCAGATGTCACTTCTGTCTTTAGGCCAGCTCTCAGTTTTCCGTGGCATGACTTACTAGAAGTCTTCAAATATATCAAGACTTTGTACAATATGAAGTAAAATGATCTAAGCTGGCTTTTAATTCATTTTTTTTTCCATTTGATATTCATTAGTGAATTGCCATGCCTTTGGCTTTGCCTTGTGTTTGGAAAACCCTTCTGTAATGTGTAGCCAGGCTGTATAAAGCAATGTGGAACTTCTAGAGAGGGTCTAGTGTGGAGCAACAAAGATGATTAAGGTACTGGAGCATCTATCATGTCAAGGGAAGACTAAGTGAYCTGGGCCTGTTTAGCATGAAGAAGAGAAGTCTGAGAGGAGACCTGATCAGTATGTCCAAGTACCTGAGGGARGAATGTAGGGAGGAAGGGGCCAAACTCTTCTTGGTAGTGGCCAGTGACAGGACAAGGGGTAATGGGTACAAGTTGAAACACAGGCAGTTCCATCTSCAKGTGAGGAAGAACTTCTTTCCTGTKAGGGTGMCAGAGCMCTGGMACAGGCTGCCCAGGGAGGCTGTGGAGCCTCCTTCTCCGGAGGTCTTCCAAACCCGCCTGGATGCCGCCCTGTGCCCCATGGTCTGAGCATCCMTGCAGGAGCAGGGAGTTGGACTAGATGATCTCCAGAGGTCCCTTCCAACCTCAGCCCTTCTATGATTCTGTGGAAGCAAGGTCAATATTGTTTGATGTCTGAATGGTATCCAGAACTCATAAGCAATGAAAGCTCAAACCATTTGGCCTGTAATTTCTCAGAATACAGAACAACAATATTTCACAGAACAGTGGCTTATCTATGTGATGATTACTCTGTTCTTGTCTATTTGGTTCATTGATTTGTCACTCCTCTGTCGATTGTCTTAAACTCTGTAACTTCTAGTGTTCTAGTTAGTGTTTTAGAACAACTGAAAGCTAGTGTGTTCCTAAAGAAGATAACTTGTCTCAAATTTTAACAAGTTTTATTTCTTTAAATTTCTTATGTTCTGTGTTTTACTTGAGAAATTAATCTTAGCTCCATTATTTATTCCACAACAGACTTAGTGCTTCTTGACAATTGAATTTATTTTCATTTAAAAGAATAATATCAATAATGAGAATGTGAAGTTTGGTCTTGAGTGTTTAGTTTTTAAAATGTAAGTCTCTGTTTACCAGTTTTGTTGAATCAATGTAACTATTTCAAATGTGTAGAATTTCAAACCCTGCAGAATTTTTACTTGAAGAATATTTAGAATAATAATAATATTTTCAGTATGTAGAGCTAAGTTTCACTTTATTTAATAACTGAAAACTGTTCTTTGGGCTGTCAGCATCATTTTYGGAAGAGTTATGTGTCTGAAATGTCACCTTGAGCTGATGGTACTTTTGAGTGTAGGAGTGTCCTTTTTTCACGGGCATGTTATTGTGTTGCTGTTTATTACTTAAATGTTCCTGCTGCAACACTGGAGAACAAGCTACAGTCTTGCTCTAAGAAGAGCACAAGCCTAGATTTGTGTAGTAGCACGTAGACTAAAAAGCTRTTTTTCTCTCTGCAGCAAAATGAGAAGGAGAACTTGCTGAAGGAGAGAAACCACATTTTGTCAACTCTGGGTGAGACAAAGCAGAATCTGACTGGACTTTGCCAGCAAGTGTGTAAGGAAGCAGCCTTGAGTCATGAGCAAATACAGATACTTGCAAAATATTCTTGCTCAGATTGTCCACTCTCCTTCTTATTCCCCGAGAGAGAACGAACAGCTCCATCTGATAGTGAACTTGTGATACCACCGTGTATGGAATTGGAAGGTCTTTCAGGTGTTACATCTACCACCGAGCAGAATTCTTGTTACCAGTGTGTGAAAGGTGTGTGTGATCCAACTTATAGTCAAGTACAAGAACTGCATCCAGTTTCTGTAACAACGCTGGAGAAGACCTCACTTGTGGAACAGTGTGGGCAGAGCAGTGGTATCACAGACTTCTGCCAGCAAATGACTGACAAATGCACTACAGATGAGTAAAACTGTTGTCTTTCTATTGCTAGGCTCTGAGCATTGCAACTTAGAGTGAGGATTGCAAAGTAACTTGCTAAGTGATAGAAAAGATGAAACATTATCTTTTGAAACAACATTAACAAGTACATGGTCATTATGTYACTTGGAAAGCTTTTGAGTTTGCTCTCTGTAGTTCTAGAAGATAATTTGTATGTATCAGTTCAGGAGCATTTCTGTCTGGRAATGCCAAGGAGAGTTCAGGTAAGTCAATTGAAAGTATAAATTGCATCACACAGGTGTTTTTGTGAGGAAGCTTTCATTCAGGTGCAAAGTAGACCTCACTGTTTTTTTTTTTTGTCACAATACCTAAACGCCACTCTACATCTCTTAAAAAATTCAATAGATGATTATGCACACTAGCTTCTACATGTGGAATCCTTACCTCTTCAGCCTCTCCTCCCCACAGCAGGCAAACCCAAAGAATCGTATACAGCTCTGAAAATGTTTTTGCTGTCAGTGGGACATTATGAGAAGACTCTGGCAAATGAGCTCTGGAACACTTTGTTACTTTGCTGCTGTTCCCACGCCTGTAACAACACCCATGTTACAGAACATGTACAGTTTGCCTTAGCTGCCCAGTTAAGCTGTCTGGAATGACTGAAGTACAGAAGCTTCTCATTCATAATTTTGAAGGAGGAGTAACAAGAACAGACTGAGAGAGGTAAAAGTTTGAAACTCAGGCAACTTTTCTCTTAGTTTGCATAGGATCATCTGGCATCTAAATTCCGTGTGCTTGTTAAAATGCTGTTCATTGCTGTAAAGTCACTTACAATCATAGCACCTTCTTGCTCACTATTGTTTGTGATGAGCTGGAGTCGAAGTATTGTGAAAGGCTAAAGGCAGATTTCTTCCCCCCTCCCCCCCCCCCCTTTTTTTTTTCTCCCTTCTTCTCCTCAAGGTATTTCATGCACCAAATTCTTATTGACTTTAGTGCTCGGCTGGGTTTGATGTAACTTACAAAAATTGTATTTGTTCTCTGATCACTGGGACCATCTATTTCAGAACTTTAATCTTCAGGCTGCTTTTATGGATAAACCTGTAGTATATTTCAAATGGCTTGTGCTGTAAGTATAAACATATAAAAAAGTATGAGAAGGTATGAGCTGGAGGGATTTCCTGCTTTTACCTTGTGAGGAAGAAATTCAGCCACTAAAATAAGAGCAATGGAAAATAATCCCTGTTGATAGACTTTTACATTACAGTAGATGGATGTTGGATACTGATGATGCTTTGTTACTTAGATGTTAGCCTTGCATCAGAATTAAGTATTGAACCTCACAACAGAAAACTTCTTTCATTTTGCTGGTTTACAAAACATGAAGAATTTTGTACAAGCCAGTGGAATTCTTCATTTCCTACCTCAGAATGTACATTAGCTTTTTGTGTCTTTGTGTGCATGTACAGTAGGCAGCAACTAGAGCAAAGGACAATTGTAAATATCGTTTTGCAGTTTTGTCTTGAAACGAGACAAAAATTGCTAAAGAAACTTTTCAGCATTTTTTTTCTCTTTTCCACTTTATAAGTAACATAGCATTAAAAATATATTTAAGAACATTAGCCCATTTATAAAAAATAAATAAATTGACAGATTTTGGCAATGCTTCTCGTAACCAGCATGTAATAAGTGACTACACTACCTCACCCATGGGATTGAAAGTTAATTCAAATCTCCAGTGATATCCTTGGATTTTCATCATATATCATTACTTTTTAGGGGGGAAAAATTATATTAATGGAGCATAACTTGTATAAATCACAGTGCTTACAGTAATTGAAGTTTAGAAGTAAATGCTATATTGCAGACTTAATGAGTTCTGTTTTGGATGTGTTTTCAGATAATTGAAACTCATTTAAATAACTAGCATTTATATGTGTTGATAAGGTGTTACTCATGAACTTCTTTGTGTCTGTCCTCCAGCATTTGTATATCCCCAGTTAATTTAATCCTTTCTCCCTCTCGTGCTGCTGTACTGTATTTTGCTTCTAAGTCTTTAATATTATTTAAAACCAAGCCAACAAGAAGCAGTATAAAATATAAATATATATATATCTCCCTAATCTCCCTACTTGGGAGATCCATATCGCTTGTAAAGTTAGTGATATTCTGAAATGACAGGGATAATGGCAGTAAATCATTGTCCTATCATACACCTACTCTGAAATGGAACTCCTTGGGTTAAATGCTCTTGGTCTAAAGGGGTGAAGCATTTATTTAGACGTCTTAAACATACCCAGTGGCTGAAATATGCCGACTTGCTTGCGTCTTGATGATGGAGGACAGGATCAGTGGTTTAGACCAACATCAGAAGCTAAAATACTTACCAAAAGTGCTGTGCTCCACTGCTCTAGTGTGATAGTCACCCAGTGTCTGAATTCCATCCAGCAAACCTTGCAAACTGGGGCTTCCAGTGCAGAATTAATGGCCCTYGTTGGGTGCTGGGAGTATGGTGAAATTCATATTGTGTATTTAAACGTATGATGAACTTGATGAAGTTTGATGGTAGATGTTTGCCTAACCAGCTGCATCTAAATAATTTTTAATATTTATTTAATACAGTAGGCCTACAAGTTGCATGTTGACTTCTATAGGTGCAAACCTGCAAAAGTTAAGAATGAATGACAATTTTATGATACAGAATTCTCAGGTAAATGTTTTGGATTTTTTTTTTTTTGGTAAAGAAATACTCGATTTTGAAATTGTAAAATACTTTGTTAAAGCATGTTTTAAAATACTTTGAACAGAATATCTTAAAGCCATAAGAGTATGATGGCATACAGATTGTAAAATAAACAAATAATTACAACAGTTGATTTTGTATCTTTCATAATCCAGTATTTTTTAAATCTACAATAAAAACCACTATCCTTTCTATAAAGGCTTTTCTTTTTTTGTACAAATCTTTTTGCGATGGATATATTTACTGGTGCATCACTTATACAGTACTGCTAAAGCAGATTTCTGAAATTAATAGCAAAATGGCTTAGAATAGCTCACACATTTAGCAAAGATTACTGAATTGTAATAAAAGTCCCATAAGTGTATCTAATATATGCTGTGTGCTGCTCTGTCTGAGTGGATTTTCTTTTCTGGTGAACTTTGAACTGATTTGGAGGGATGGAGAAGTGAGTGAGATATTGTTGTGCTTTTTGAAATTATTATTTTGACAGAAAATTTTGCAGTTGTTATGTATACTCCATGTAGTATAGATCAATGTACTAGGCTAAGCTTTATCATGAGGGAAGGTTCAATGATAAATTGGCTTACTAAACTCCTGAAGATAGCACAGAATTGTAGAGTGGTTGGCGTTGGAAGGGACCTCTAGGGATCATCTAGTCCAACCGCCCTGCTCCAGCAGGGACACCTAAAATTTTTGTAATTACAATCATGCTGATCTGCAGAAGGATTAGCCTTGGAGAAACTACATTTAACCTCATCTCCCTGTGGCTAATACAGAGCCTAGCCTTTGGTGCAATTATTTACCTTGTTTGGAGGCTTTTTATATTAGAAGTTACTTAAAAACTTGTAACCTGTGCATTTGCCTTCTATATCTGAAGTTAATGAAGGGTCTGCTGTGGAATGAAGTAAAAATGAAAATAATCTTTAGAGGGGAAAAAATGTTGCCCCTCATCCCCATCACCTCTCCCCCCTGCACTAATTGTGCAGATTGGGACTGAGACTGCACAATTAGTTCTGTTCCTGGATTTTATTTTTTTTAAGGAAGTGAGAAATGAGAAAATGCTGGTGACTGGCACTCATATATGGGTATGTGTTTTTTATCTAAAAATGGCAGAGTTGGGTGAAGACAGAAAYGTTTCAAGTGAAGTAGCAAAGCTTCTTCCTTCTAAAGCTTGAAATAAAAGGCAAAATTGCACTTACTTTGACTGAAACTATTTTTAGAACAAACTTCTTCAAATTGCTGCTCTTCTGGCAGAAGTTTTGCGGTAAAGAGTTGACTTGTGCAAGGCAAAACGTGCAAGTTCCTTTGTGGCATTAAAGGAGAAACCAGACTTGCATGCCTGTTAGATATTCCATTGATTGCATATTGATTTCTTTTTCATTGGGTTTGTTCTTCCAAGGAGTTAGCCCGGGGTTCAGAATCCCATGGTTGGGATTCACAAGCACGTATAAAGGTGCATTTTATTTTTTTTTGCAGTCCATTGTGATTTATTGCCAAATGAGTTTTGTGCAGAGGATTAAAAGAAGAAAGGATGGAAAAAATGTGCCTTTTTAACAGGTATTTGCATAAGAGAGACCGGAGAATATGACTTAAAAAAAGGTACTTGTTAGAATACTAGTTAGGTTTACTAGGCCTTTGAAATAATTTATATACTCATCATTAAAAAAATAAGTGCCTGTCTTTTTGACTCACTGATGTTTCTGTCGACATGCGAACAAACTAATCCTTAATCCTACTGTCAAAACACAACTCTTTTCCCCCTCCTTTTCTCCACCTTTTGTCTTTTTTTACCTTCAATATCTCAAGTGAGAAAGCAGCATTCATCCCAGAGATTGAAACTTTTGCAATGATTAGGAAATTGACAATATAAGTAAGTGCATGTCTTGTTTCTCCCCTCCTCCTCCTTTTTTTCCTTCCTTTTTTTTTATATATATGTATGCATGTGTTCACACACACATATATATTTTAGGGAAGAAATGTTATAAAAAGGTCAGTTTGACTTTTCCACAGTTGGAAGGAAAAGTTGAGGAAATAAAAACAGGCTTATGGGAATACTCATCCAGAATGCAAAGAAGCATACACAGATATGTATGTGTAATAATAACTTGTATATTTTGTGCTAATGGCAGGATATCATGCCAGGTATTCCAGGCACAATACAAGTAATGCCTTTCCAAAAGGCTTTGATCAAGGATTTTGAGATAACACAATAACAGGATTTGCAGAATTCAAGACAAAATGAGATTATAATTCAGGACTGTTTAAGCTTGTTACCTGCAAAACAGTAGATGGTCCTTCTGTGCTACAAAGAAGAATAAAGTGACTGGGAAAATATAGTTAGTGTGACTAAATGTAAATCCTGTTTGGTAGCAGACTATGTTGTCTAAATACTAAACTTTTTCCCAAATGCCTGCCGCTGTTGATTCATGTACAAAGATGGTTTTAATGTAAGCTAGCGTACTTGAGTAGTTAATATTATTCAAACAATATTACTAAGGAAAAACGTGAATAAGCATAAAAAATACCTATTTTTTTCTAAACTAATCAGAAATACTAGTATCTCTTTTGAAAAGGATCATCCATCCTCAGCTTGTATTGCTTCTCCAGTCACTTGATTGATATCTCTATTAACACCTTTATTAAAGACTGCTCTTTTTATTTTCCTTCTCATTTTCTCCTGTAAAGCATTATTTCCATGGAATCTCTAAAAAATAAATAGTGGAATTCTAACTTTGTTAACTGATGGATGTTTTGGAACTGTCTGCAGTAGAAAAATGTATGTGGACAGTCAGTTGGGTTGATAAACATGTTATAGGAACTATGAGTTCTGTAGGCCTTATCAGCCCTATAGAAGTAATGCATCTTTCATCATTTYTTTTCATCCTTTGTATTTGGGGTCTGTATTTGAGAGGATACTGAGGAGGGGGCATCTCCACAGGGTACTTTTTTCCAGTAATATCAAGCAGAGAAAAACCCATTGCATGATGAATATTCACTGGGAAGTCTTGAATTTATATTTTTGAAGATCACTACAGGCTGATTATTTAATTGTAGATGATCTTTAGCTATCATATAAATATCCTTTGTATATACACAATGATATTTTGTTAACAGAAACCTGATTTATCAGTGA